GAAGGATAAGTCCTGCACTCACTCCCATCACTTATCACTTACATTATATTTTGATACAAAAAATGGATACAAATGCAGAAGGATAAGTCCTGCACTCACTCCCATCACTTATCACTTACATTATGTGTTTGCCTAAAAGGCAAGTTAGTTAGGACACAAATGGCAAATAGACACTTCTGACACTCATAGAATGTCATGCTGATAGCACATATGCACAAAAAAAAGGCAGTGTGTATGTAACCAGTAGTCCAGCTGACCAGTCCCCTAAGGAGCCCCCCTCCAAGGTCTCAATTTGTAGTTGGAGTACAGGGTCGCATGTTTGGTACTATTTAGCAGAATTAGGGATAGTATGGAATTATATAACTGTGTAGAACTACAGATCAGTGTAGAACTATGTCTTGGCTGGGACAATATATATAGCTATATACATACAGCTTTGGTGATTTATGCAAAGAAGCTAAAGTGAGTCATGGGTCACCTTTAACCAAAATCAAAAGTAATCATGTATTTGCATTGTTCCTTTAATTTCATATTCTCAGCATTTTTGGATACACAGGCTATAGATTGTGCAACTATGACTCAACGAGACTGTGATCACTACATCTCAGGGCACCTAAATCACCTTTCACTCCAATAATTGCTACACCTTCCAACATTTCAAATTGACAAAGGTGCATTTTAAATGACAACTGTCACCTCAAAACTATCTTTTAGTATAACAAGCCTTTCATCAAGTTTTGAAAATAAGATATACAGTCATGGGGAAGAAATTCTATGGTTTTACATTTCAGAACATTAAAATTAGGTGAATACAACTTCAGTTAAACAACACATGACATCTTACACCGTGTCATGATTTATTTAACAAAAATAAAGCCAACATGGAGTAACCATGTGTGAAAACTGTACCTTATGATTCAATAGCTTGTAGCTTTAGTAGCAATAATTTGAAGTAATCATTTTCTGTATGACTTTAATTTTAAGACCTCCTAAGGAACAGGTGATTGTCATTATATCCTGATATGTAAAAGCATAGCATTCAAAGAGGGGTTAGTTTATTTTCCCCATGACAGTATATATATATTCTTTCAAAACATGATTATAATAAAAAAAATAGTTTTAAGGTGTCTTTTGATTTTAGGGGTGCACTGAGTGGGGACAGGGATGTGCTGAGGAATTGTAGGTGGCTTATATAATAATAAAGATAATTTGCCATTTTTATAGCGCTTTTCTCCCTGTGAAACTCAAAGCACTTTACAAATATACAGACATAAAAGTTAGGAGTTTCTGGTGTCAGATGAGTGGACTGAATGCCTGATGGAAGAGGTGGGTCTTTAACTTTTATTTTTTAAAGTCTGTAAGGACAGTGCCTCTCTGTCTAAACATGGAAAAGCGTTCAGAAGGTAGGGGCAGCGTGGCTGAACACCCTGGAACCTGAGACTTACTAATAACAATTTATAGAACAAAAATTGAATTTAGAACAAATTATCTTATTTACACAGATTGATTTATAAACACATTTGTTGTAGTTTAAAGACAAATTAATATTATTATATAGCGGTAAAAAATTCCGCAGCGCTTTACAATGGGTGGACTGACAAACATGTAATCGTAACCAGACAAGTTGGACGCACAGGAACAGAGGTGTTGAGGGCCCTGCTCAATGAGCTTACATGCTAGAGGGAGTGGGGTAAAGTGACACAAAAGGTAAGGATAGATATCCGGGAAGTAGATTGGTAGAATAGTATTCACTGAAGACTTAGTGTGTTTTATTTTGTTTAAATGACAGTTGCAGGAGAGGAATTAGTTGGAAGCCATTAACAGTTTAGTATTATTGCTGTGGAGCTCTGTTATACACTCAGACACATTACTGGGAGTATTATTGCTGTGGAGCTCTGTTATACACTCAGACACATTACTGGGGTATTATTGCTGTGGAGCTCTGTTATACACTCAGACACATTACTGGGATTATTATTGCTGTGGAGCTCTGTTATACACTCAGACACATTACTGGGAGTATTATTGCTGTGGAGCTCTGTTATACACTCAGACACATTACTGGGAGTATTATTGCTGTGGAGCTCTGTTATACACTCAGACACACCAACAATATGGAGCTCCTAGAAAAGAGGTACATTGGGATAGAAAACCAGGACAGAGGGATTTAGGCCCACAATAGAGACTGTCCTTTCTAAATAGGGACACTTGGGGGGTTTCTCCAGGCTTTGGCACCTATTGTTTAAAAGGGATTCTATAGTGCCAGGAATACAAATCCGTTTTCCTGGCATTATAGGTTTCTAAGGTGCCCCCCTCCCTCCCGCGGTGCTGAAGGTTTAAACCAGCAGAGATATTGTGGTGGAATCTCGGTAAAAATAAATTTAGTAGGCCGAGATTACCACATGGCATGTGTACGTGCATATGCTGACGTATCGATCAGTTGGTTGCACGAGGCAAGATACGATCAGTAGTGTACGGAGCATGTGCAAGAATACAGGATGTAGTATTCCCCTCCTCCATTGTGCTGGACAAGCCATGCGGTCAAGCAGGAAGTTAATTCTTATTTGTAATGATTGGTCAAGAGAATGTGCGGGTGGAGCTTAATATGGGAGGAGTTATGTGCCTATATAGGGAGCCTGCACTATTGTTCAGGGCTCAGAACTTGCTGTATTTTTGGTGACATTAGTCCCTCTGAGTCCCGATCGGTGATCCAATAAAGAACCTCTTCCTTCCTGAAGAAACCTGTGTCCATCCCTCTGTGCTTTGCTTCCGTCAGTTTCTCCGGTATCATTTGGTGCATTGGCCGGGAAATCTCATCGTTCAACGGTAGCTGAGAGGCAGAGGCGTGAGACGGTCTATCTTTGCCCACGTTCTCTACGGCTGCACCCCTGAACTTCTGCGTGGACCTCCCTTCGTCTCGGCGCCACTGGTCTGTTGTCCAGGAGATCATCGGCCTCTACGTAAGAAGTGCTGGGGTGTCCCCGTCGATGAGTGTGAACTCAGGTTCAGGAACGAGGAGGTAAGACAACTGCTGTTTTAGACGGCAGACCCACTAGGGGTATACCGATTGTGCGGTAGGCCCAAAAGGGGTTTAAATCTGTGTATGGAATCTGCCCCCTCTGTCGGAGGGAAGGAGCGAAGGCGCACCGCTCGATCGAACGCTCTTTAGTAAGACCGTTTGATCTGGTTAGTCAGGCGGGGTCCTGTGTAAATAGCCCTAGCCGGACACCGGTGTCTTGTCTAGACTAGCGTTCTAGGGTGTATATTACGTTCGCTAGGTCGGAGGGACCGGGAGACTAAGCGGCGCCTGTGTAAATTCGGTTCGCTAGCTCTCAACCTATCTTGGCTAAGTGGGAAGGCGTGTAAATTTGGAACCCACTAGACTTTTGATAGAGTAAATAGACTAGAAGGGCAATTTTGTAAATTCTGCCCTCTAGTTCGCTATATGTGGTGCTTGGGCAGTGTGGCTAACCAAAACGGGTGTATATAGTTTTAGGTAGTCCATTCAAGGTACTGGCCAATAGTTTAGTTGGGATTGTAAATGTGTTAAAGATTGTTAGTAAAGTGTATATCTTGTTAGATAGCGCGAGCTCAGCCGTCTAGCGAGAGTGTTAATAGTGTGTTGCTGTATCATAGTGCACGGTACCATAACCCTGTATATTTACTGACACTGTATATAAGTACTAATCATTGTCGTCTATTGCATGTTTAACACCATAACCACTAGTAATTGTATTGTGACCTTAAATTGTGCTTTTACCTATGCTAACCGTACTGTAACCGATACTAGTAAAAGACGATGTTACTGGGGTGTGTTATAGACGGGTAATTCATATATAGAGAATTATAGCGTGGGTGACTGTATAGTTTCGCCAAAGGGCATAATATTGATTATTTAGTGACTGGTGTAACAGCTGTGTGTGTACCGGAATTCCCTGAGTGATTATTGTGTTATTGTGTACGTTTCACTTGGTAACTGTACCACGTGGTGCTGTTGCCAGAGGAAACGGGTGTGACTGTTGAATAAGAACGCGTGCATAGTATTCGTTGTCAACGACGTTCCATTGATAAGTATGGGCGCGTCAGAGTCAACGATTTCGGATCCCTTAGGTTGTATGGTAAAGAATTTTAAAAAGGGATTCAAAATATGTGATTTTGGGGTTAAAATGTCTCCTGTTCGTTTGGTCACTTTGTGCACTAGGGAGTGGCCTACTTTGGTTGCGGCATGGCCGCCGCGTGGCAGTTTGGATCCAACCCTGGTACAGCGTGTACACGTGGCTGTGTCAGGTAGGCCTGAACTTTACGGACAGTTTCCATACATTGATTGTTGGAGGCAGGCCGTAAACGACTCGCCAAAATGGATCCGGATATGCCACGAGGAGCAATGTCGCCTCATGGTGGCCAGGACTTATTTGTCCACTAGGACCGGTGTTAGGCCCATTTTGGACACGCCCCCTGAGTCCGAGATCCCTTTGCCGCCCCCTTACTTCCCTTTAAGAGGAAGTGACGCGAATGCAGGAAGTTCTGCACCCCTTCCCCTATTGCCCCCATCCACTTCCGCTTCCTCCTCCAGTACAGAATCCACCCCCCTCGTATTAAAACTCCCCTTCCTGAACCAGGACCAACCCCCATTAGATCTGAATATCCTGATTTGGCGCCACTTCAAACTTCCGGTCAAGCTTCTTCTAGCTCGGCTCAGAGTATACTATTCACTAATTTTTCACAAAATCAAGTTCCCACATCCTCATGCCCTATTACCTCTCGACCGGAACCTTTAACTGACGCCCCTCCACGTAGCCCCATACTAACCCGACAACTGACCGGTACCCAACAATTAAAACATTATCAGATGCCTCTTCGTCTGAATCCTGGGTCAGCCTATATCGATGCCGCAGGTCAAATGGCACATGCTGACCCAGTCTTCGTATATGTCCCGTTCACGACTACCGATCTCTTAAATTGGAAGACCCACAATTCCTCGTACACTGAGAAACCACAAGCTATGACCGATCTGTTCACCTCGATAGTTCAGACACATAACCCGACATGGGCTGATTGCCAGCAGTTATTAATGACATTGTTCAATAATGAGGAAAGGACAAGGATTAATCAAGCGGCCATTAAGGCGCTAGAGGAGAGAGCCCGTGCTTTAAATCAGGCCAATCCGGCAGCATGGGCCGCAACACATTACCCTAACACCGATCCTGACTGGAATGTAAATGGCGCAGATATGGCTCAACTTAAAGCCTATAGAGATGCTATAATTGCTGGCATGAAAGCCGGAGGGAAGAAAGCTATTAAAATGTCGAAGACAGTTGAGGTGATTCAGAAAAGTGATGAAGCGCCCAGTGTCTTTTATGACCGATTATTGGAGGCATACCGCTTGTATACCCCCTTTAATCCTGAAGACGCTGATAATTCCCGAATGGTAAACTCCGCCTTTGTCAGCCAAGCTTACGGAGATATTAAGCGCAAGCTACAGAAATTGGAAGGGTTTGCAGGTATGTCTATCACCCAACTAATGGAGGTAGCGAACAAAGTATATATGAATAGGGAAACAGAAAGTAAGAAAGAGGAAGAGCGCAAGATGCGTAGAAAGGCAGATATGCTAGCTGTAGCGATCGCAGGCGTAGATAGACGGGGCCCAGATAGAGGCGATGGTAGATGGAATAGGGAGCCTTTGAGTAGGAATCAGTGCGCGTACTGTAAGGAAGAAGGGCATTGGAGGAACGAGTGTCCGCAAAGAGAGCAGTATGAGAGACTTACCCAGGGCAGGTTACGGAAACTTTAGAGGCAGAGCGAGAGGTAGAGGAGGCCCCGGAGGGAGTAATGGTAATAGAGGGAGTAATGGGAACAGAGGAAGTGTAAGGGAAGATAGGTACTATCCAGCAGCGCAAAGGTCCCGCGATAGAGAAGGTAGGGACTTTGTGGGATTGGCTGACACGGTCACGGAGGACTATTGATACCGACCGGGCTCCATCCCCCTTGGTCGAGCGGAGCCTATGGTCGATGTATCAATAGGGGGAAAAAGGAGTGCGTTCATGATCGACACTGGTGCTGAACATTCGTGGTGACTAATCAAGTTGCTCCTCCATCTGGAAGAACTATTACTGTAATAGGAGCAACTGGAAGAAGTGCTGAAAAACCGGTTCTTAAAAGTCGACTCTGTACATTGGGAGGCCACGTAGTAAAACATCAATTCCTTTATATGCCTGAGTGTCCAGTCCAATTGCTGGGACGTGATATGCTATCCAAATTACAAGCGCAGATTACGCTCCTACCAAATGGAACAACATCCTTAAAGTTTAATGGACCCTCAGGTATTATGACATTGTCCGTACCAAAGGAAGAAGAGTGGCGACTTTATACAGTGCTGACTAGCCAAAACCCGAGGAGTGATGAATCCTTATTTAACATACCAGGAGTTTGGGCAGAGAACAACCCACCAGGACTGGCCCGCAATATTCCACCTATTAAAATCGAACTAAAACCTGGGGTTTATCCAGTAAGCCTGAGACAATATCATATTCCGCAGAAGGCTAAGAAGAACATCCAATCTTATCTGGATAAGTTCATACGGTATGGTATCCTAAAGTTCTGTACTTCCCCCTGGAACCCCCCATTGCTGCCTGTTCAAAAGCCCGGTACAGATGAGTATCGACCTGTGCAGGACTTGAGAGCAGTCAATGATGCGGTTGTTAGTATACATCCAGTCGCGCCCAATCCATATAACCTGCTTGCTTTAATTCCGGGCGGGGCTACTTACTTTACAGTCTTAGATCTCAAAGATGCCTTCTTTTGCCTCCGAATTGCCGCAGAAAGCCAATGTATCTTCGCTTTCCAATGGGAAAATGCTGTAACGGGCTCGAAACGCCAAATGACCTGGACAAGATTGCCCAGGGGTTTAAAAATTCACCTACCCTATTTGGTTCAGCTCTAAGTCAAGATCTACTAGATTTCGAGTCTATCCCAGGAGAGTGTGTATTATTACAATATGTAGATGACTTGTTGATAGCAGCAGTTACAAAGGAAGTATGTCAGCAAGCAACGCACGAACTACTACACATTCTCTGGAAGGCACAGTTGTGTTTGCCAACTGTCAAATATCTGGGATTCCATATCTCTGAAGGTCAAAGAATTATGGGGCCAGAGAGAAAAGAAGCTGTGTGCCAAATACCGATACCCAGGAATAGAAGACAAGTGCGAGAATTCTTGGGGGCAGCAGGCTTCTGTAGGATATGGATTCCCAGCTACGCGATACTGGCAAAACCCCTGTATGCAGCTATCAAAGGTACAGAGCACGACCCCTTCTTATGGACTCAAGAACAGCAAACGGCATTCGAAGATGTGAAGAGGGCTTTGATGAGTGCCCCAGCATTAGGTCTACCTGACCACACACGGCCATTCTACCTGCATGTACATGAGCAAAGAAGAATGGCTGTGGGAGTATTGACACAGTACTTGGGATCATGGCAAAGACCTGTTGCCTACATGTCTAAGCAAATGGATGCAGTGGCCAGTGGACTTCCACCTTGTCTAAGAGCCGTAGCTGCAGCCGCCCTGCTAGTAGCTGAAGCCGATAAACTCACTCTGGGTCAAGAACTTTATGTACAAGTTCCACATGCAGTACAGACGTTGTTGGATTACAAAGGAAATCATTGGTTTAGTAACAGTCGTATGACCAAGTATCAAGCAATGTTGTGTGAAAACCCAAGAGTGCATTTAGAGACTGTAAATACCTTAAATCCAGCTACCCTTTTGCCACAACCTACTGAAAGTCAACATGATTGTTTGGAAGTAATGGACGAAGTATTTTCAAGTAGACCAGATCTTCGTGATTTTCCCATCCAGAACCCTGATGTTCAATATTACACCGACGGCAGTAGTTATGTAAAAGAAGGGATCCGCTATGCAGGATATGCAGTAACAACGATAGACAAGGTGATAGAAGCTCGGTCACTGGCAAAAGGAACATCAGAACAAAAGGCAGAATTGATAGCACTGACACGAGCGTTACAATTGGCTGAAGGTTTAAGAGTGAACATTTACACGGACTCCAAGTATGCGTTTTTAACCACTCATGCCCACGGAGCTTTGTATAAAGAAAGAGGACTATTGAATTCAGAAGGCAAAGAAATCAAATACGCAGCTGGGATCCTACAACTATTGGAAGCAGTGTGGGAGCCGAAAGAAGTCGGTATTATACATTGTCGGGCGCATCTGAGAGGAGATGGTGATGTAACCAAAGGGAATCGGATGGCAGATAGTGCAGCTAAGCGTGCTGCTGAATCAGGAAGACAGGAATATGTGGGGCATATAGCTGCTCTTATACCAGCTCCACTGTCTCAATGGACTCCAATTTATACAGCTCAGGAAGAGGAGAGGTTAAGGACTGAACCTGGAAAGTATTTGGAGAACAAATGGTATCAGTTAGAAGATGGAAGAATAGTTATTCCAGCATCACTAGCGGTAGAAATTGTCCAAAACTATCATAACGGGACATATTCTGGGAGAGACAGTACAGAAGAATCTCTCAGAAAACATTTCTACATACCAAGATTGTCCAACTTGACTCAGGCCATTGTACGTAGATGTGTAACGTGTGCAAAAAATAATGCAAGACAAGGACCAGTAAAGCCACCAGGAGTCCAGTTTATGGGGGGACTTCCCATGTCCGATTTACAAATTGACTATACAGTGATGCCTAAATCGGGTGGACATCGCTACCTGTTGGTAGTGGTGTGCACCTATTCAGGCTGGGTAGAAGCATGTCCTACTCGTATAGAGAAAGCAGGAGAAGTCGTGAGATTCCTGCTACGAGAAATAATACCCCGATATGGACTACCCTGCTCTATAGGATCGGACAATGGTCCAGCTTTTGTTCATCAGTGCCTACAACAATTGACTCATATGCTTGGTATAAAGTGGAGGCTTCACACGGCATATAGACCCCAGAGTTCTGGTAAGGTAGAGAGAATGAATAGAACTATTAAGAATCAGTTGGCTAAAATGTGTCAGGAAACCCAACTTAAGTGAAACGTTCTCTTGCCCATAGCTCTATTGCGAATCCGTAGTACACCTACCAGAAGGATGGGCCTCTCTCCTTTTGAAATCATGTACGGGCGACCACCTCCCGTGCTTGGTAACTTAAGGGGGATTTGAGTCAGTTGGGAGAAGGAATTACCCGGCAGCAGGTTGTGGAGTTGGGTAAGACTATGGAGGAGGTACAGAAATGGGTACAAGATAGATTACCTGTGAATATTTATCCCCCAATTCATAGTTACCACCCAGGCGACCAAGTGTGGATTAAAGAGGGGAATAATGTGCCGTTAGGGCCCAAGTGGAGAGGTCCTTATGTTGTTCTTCTGTCTACCCCTACAGCGATAAAAGTAGCCGAAGTGGCTCCGTGGATACATCACTCCAGGGTTAAACCAGCAGCAGCCGATTCCTGGCAAGTTACAGCAAATCCAGAGAATCCCTGCAAAATCCGGTTAAAACGCACAACTCAGTCGGAGTGACGAGGAACCTTGTGGATCACAAATTTTATTGTTTCAGAGACTTGGTAAGTGAGTGAGAAGGCCATAATAAAGCCTGTCCACTCACCAACGAGTGTATAAGTCAGGGAAAGTCTTGAGGGGACCCCTGTGAAGACGAGCAGAACTCCATTCCCTGCAGCCCTTACATCCTGAAAGCTGAGGTGCCTTCGCACGGACGAAGACTGAGGATGACGACGAAAGATGTATTTTTAATAATGTTTATTTATGTGTATTTTTATATTCAGGAAGGTAGAGGTAACGACACTCCTAGCTGTGAGGTATGCATTAAGACTACAAGAACAGGTAACCATATATCCCAGACCCTAATTTGGCATTCGCAATATGAGTGTAAAGGAGATGTATCAAGATGTAGATACTTAAATATAGAATATAGTGTGTGTCATTTAGGAGTAGGAGAACCTAAGTGTTTCAGTCCTGAGTATCAACCCCGTACAATTTGGTTGACTCTCAGAAATGGAGATTCTCAGGGGACCCTAATTAATAAGACGGTATTAAAATCCGTATATTCTTCAGGTGCTCTGCTATTTGATGCGTGTAAAGCAATAGCAAGTGGTAGAAAGCCGTGGAATGTATGTGGGGATCTTAGATGGGAGAGGACGTATGGGTCTAACGATAAATATATTTGTCCCAGTAGTAAAAATAGATATGTAAGTCCAAGATGTCCAAATAGAGATTATAACTTCTGCCCATATTGGTCTTGTGTGGGGTGGGCGACTTGGGGACAGACAGCAGACAAGGACATGATTATGACTAAGTTGCCTACTAATCCATATTGTAAGTCTATG